GTATCGTACGTGAATTGACGTCGAAATGATGGAAATCCTCATCATGCAAATTAGTAATTATCAAACCTATAATGAGATAGTAAAATAGATGAATGGAAGATTAATGAATTGAAAGAATGGGAAAAATTATCGATGACAAGTCTATKACAAACATTCATTATGCCAATTAACCACAATATAATTTACAACAGTCTAAAGCAATATTATCATAATTAAAGTTAATGAAGAGAAACCTCCAGACAGTACAGATAGTCATCTCGACATCCTATCAAAATCCTGTTGCCTACTATCACTGGTGATGAAAACACTGGTCCAGACATAGACCATGCCGTCAACAAGTGTCCGTTATCTGGGCACAGGCAATATAAAGTACCCTTAGTTGAACAGACCACTACAACAGGCTCYTTATTCTCTCGACGACTCCATGTTGTGTCATTTATATCGTGGTTTTGGCGTGTTTGAAGATTTTCCTTGCAAACATCTCTACCGCAAATTTCATTTCTTGTAATATTCAGCAGAGCAACAAAAGGAGAGGAGTACACTTCAGAATCAGCGACAAATTTCCATTTCATCTGACCAGAGCTGGAAATGCAATAWACACACTTATCATGGCTGCCAAAGACAATGTCTGACAAGAAGWCAGACGGAGAACTGAAAACAGGTCCGGAGGCCTCAAACTGCCATTGAAGCTCACCASTAAGACTGTAGAAGTAGATCTTTCCATCAACACATCCACACAAAACACCATCTGATGTCGCTAATGGAGAAGCAAAGACAGGTTTGGGGCACTGACTAGTCCATTTAATGTTCATTTGTGCAGTACACACAGCCAACAGTCGACCTCTCAAAGTAGCAACAAACACYAMTTGATGACKTGTAAGAATGTATGGCGAGCTGAAGCAAGCTGCTCCACAGTCAAACGATGCCACGCWTTTCTGTTTKWCWACGTCTAGTGAGTAGAGGTAATGGTCATGTGATCCGATCCAAATGATACCCGTGGAGGGGTCCATACGGGGGGAGCTTTTGACTTGGCCACCAGTTTGGAATGTCCAGGTTATGGCACCAGTGTCACGACRGAAGACGTAAACCTTGCCATCGTAGCATCCTTAATCGATAACACAATAAAACGGCAATTAAAATGTTCCTACTTAAGCTTAGACTTTTCAAATTTCTATCATTAATTCCTACAAGTATGTATTGTATCACTTRTGAATCCACTAAATATTTCATTGAATCTCTTTTTGCGTTGCACTTATACATTGTAATCTCTAACCTATTTTATAAATAACTACAGMTACCAAAAGCTATTTATCAATACATACTCACCAACAATAATAAAACAGCCACACTTGGATATTGCCGCAGAGGATTCAATTCTATC